TATATATATATATATTATAATCATTTATGACCTAACAATTCAAGGTGTAAGAAGCAATTCAGTTTGACTCAATTTTTATGAGTCGTATTTTTGTTGACATAATTTCGTCAAATAACGTATAAGATTAGGTCAACTTATTCATTCAATCTTTTTAATTTATTTTTTTGGACTTGAATTTCAAAGGTTACTACTATCAAGCACATAAGTTAATTAGCATGTGCTTGTTCAATTGGATCAGAAGTATCGGATTCAAATTTCGAATATTTAATTACGTTAACATACACTAAAAAAATATATAAATTATTTATAATTTCCATTAAAAACGAGTGGATATATGAGTAAAAATATATATTGAGCTTACATGATTTTTTTTTACATTGTTTTTATTAACAACGTTGAATTTTATCAAACTTAAATATATTTTATAGACTTATTTTAATTTTGATTTTTATAATTATTTTGTTTTTTTCTTCATCTTTCTAAAAAAAATGTAGACATTGTTTTTGCTCTAGGAAACAATTATTTAGTTTGGTCTATTTCTTTGCTATGGTTGAATGTTGGATAATTGTATTAAAGAGACTCAAATACTTTTTCTATGTTATGATTTAAATGTTCGAGTATTTATAGGTAGAATTTTTTACCAATATAATATTTTTTTTAAAAAAAATTACAAGATTAACAACTGTGCAGGTTTATTTACCATACTAGAACCATTTACTGTGTAAGCTCAGAATTCAATTCTCGGGGAACCGAATTCTGAGCTTCAAAGTGTTATTTTTTTTGTTTTTTCAACTCAGAATTCGGTTCCGGGGAACCGAATTCTGAATTGGTTTTATATATATTTTTTTTCGTGTATGTGGGAAAATTTGGGCAGAGGTTGGAAGTGGAACGGCTCGTTCCTAAATCAGAACGGGTCGTTCTGCTTAAAGTCACATAGTGAATTTTTTGAAATTGAAACGGGCCAAGAATGGGCCGTTCCGTTAATTCTTAACTCTGGAACGGCCCGTTCTTGGCCCGTTTCAATTTCAAAAAATTCACTCTGTGGCTTTAAGAAGAACGGCCCGTTCTGCTTTCGGAACGGGCCGTTCCACTTCCAACCTCTGCCCAAATTTTCCTACAACACGAAAAAAAAATATATATAAAACCAACTCAGAATTCGGTTCCCCAGAATTCGGTTCCCCGGGAACCGAATTCTGAGTGGAAAAAACAAAAAAAAATAACACTTTGAAGCTTAGAATTCGGTTCCCCGGGAACCGAATTCTGAGCATGCACAGTAAATAATTCTAGTGTGGTAAATAAACCTGTACAGTTGTTAATCTTGTAATTTTTTTTAAAAAAATATTATATTGGTAAAAAATTCTTTATAGGTAACTTCAATTTTTATTAATGAACATTTTATTAAGAAGATCAAATGAAATTAAATAAAAGAAGAGATACTGACATGATGATCGACATATAATTATTTTATGAAGAAGGATTCAATCTCTATGTCTTTTGTGTATTAAATAAAGTTGTTGCGCATACATGTTTTCATATTATTACACAACAAAATTTTATCAAATTAAAAAATAAATCAAATCCATAAATAACTTTTTGTATTTTAAGATATTGATCACTAACTTTTGCATAGAGATTGAAATTATTTAGCGTGTGACATACTGATTGTAACCACCCATCCCAGAGATCGGGGATTATATATGCGATTAGAATGAGAGAGTGATGATGCGTAATTAATGGACATAAGTGCATAACACGCATTTATCCTTTCTCACACTTGTTCCTTATTCATACTTTGCTTGGTTGTGTGGTACAAGTTTGGGAAGAAACTGTTTAAGTGTATTTCACTGCAATAAATGTTATATACAAAAAGTGTCACTATAACTATAATATATATACATATATCTATTTAACATATAATTATACATAATTTTAGTATTAATTTTGAATGAGATTTATTAATATATTTTATATATTACTATATCTTATATTTACATTTTTTAATAATATACTAACATATATTGTATAAGTAAAAATAATTTTTAATGATAATTTTTGTGTTATTATAAAATGTTTTGTTATACGACAATTTTCTTTGTAGTGTATTATAAAACACATGTTCTGCGTTGGTTAGGTACAAAAGATTAAATGTTGTCAAATGAAAATAATTCTTATATTTTCCCTTTTAATGTATTTCATCTCAACAAATTTTGTAGTTTCATATTATTATTATAATATAGAAACAAAGTATCTCTTTCCTTCAACTTTAATTAAGCTGAACAAAAAATAATTAAAAGAATAAAACTGAACAATAATAAATTAATAATGATACCATCTACTTTTCCCATTTCATTCATTCTTTACTCTTCTCTCTAATCTTTTCATTTATTTTTCTTTTCCCGACCAAACAAGCGTGAAATAGAACACCGGTATAAATTAGTAACGTAAACGAAACAAAAGAGTCAATTAAGATGTTAAAATAGATTAATTAATAAATAAATTTAATCTATTATTTTTTATATTTTTTACACCAATTATTTTTTATAGGCTTAATGGTACCTTTTGTCTCTTGCAATCGTATAATTTTAATTTCTTATATTTTAATTGATCAATTTTGGTCTCTTAATTTTTAATTAAACAATTTTAGTTCATTAAGTATCTCACTTGTGTAATTTTAGTCTTTTAAGTACCATAATTAAATGATATATTTATTATTACTAAAATTACTAACATATATAACTTAAATATGTCACAAATTATATATTTTTCAATATTTGAAAGATTAAAATCATATAATTGTAATATTTAGAAAATTTAAATTTTTTAATTAAATTTTGAAAGATTAAAATCATCCAATTATAATATTTGAAAGAATAAAATTGCTCAATTATGACCTTAAGAATCCAAATCACGCAATTATAATATTAGATAGATAAAAAACACAATTAAATTTCTTTTGTATTTGTCTAATAAATTTTGCGAAAAAACCACAGTAATATTCAAACATGAGAATTACATTTCATCTCATTTTTAATTTTGACTAATTATTGACTTAATATTATTAAATATTTTTAATCAGATGCTTATTAATTAATAATTTTAATTTTGTATTTATACCTATATATAAAAGGATATGAGATTATAACCTCTTTTTTGTCTTTATATTTTTTAAATGATTTTATTTTTAAATTTTAAATAATAAAAAATAATATTAAAAACTAACAATATTTATCAAATTCAAGGCTCCAACTCAAAAATTTTGAGACTTAAAAACCAATCACACACTAGTTTATTTAATGAACATTAATAATTCTTAAACATATTTATTAAATAAAATATAAAACTATAGAATCTAATATTAATTCTTATATACTAATTTTTGAGTCTTTCTTCTCATGCTCAACGTCGTCAATCTTACACCTAGAGAGATCGAGACAGAGCTCTCTAATTGGAATTGTGTCTGGTGTCACAAAGGTGTGCCCGAT